ATTGGGGCAAAGCCCAGAAAGCTTCAACGACTCATGTGTTGTGACGTGGCACTGCTGCACTTGATTCATTGGTATTCAGAGTGCTGTACTGGACTACAGCGTGCGTGCACGTTCAGATAAACAAAAACTGATCTTGCCGTCAGTAAAACTTGTATAGCTGCTTTGATACGAACGCAAATCAAAAGCACTTCAAGGTACTTCTCTGAATTTGAACTAAAGATGACAGTGTGAGCRAAGAATTTCTATCACAATTGCTTGTAAATATTATATAACATCGAAAAAATAATATTCGCTGAAAAGCATAGTTCCATTTTGGAAATAAAACATTAAAGTAATAACAACTTACAAAGTCCAGATGCCATGAAACCAAACACGACCAACAGCAGTAATGTAGTTTTTACTGCATTCATCGTTGACGATATTCTATTTCCAAACTCAGTTGCTATAATCCAGAGCTTGCTGGAGTTGTGTGAAGTGAACAAAGTTGTTCAGAGAGTATTTATGACTGAGGTTTGGTGTTGCTTTGCCACGCCCCCTGTTGTAGACATTTCGAGATGTCTCAGCCTAATCAGACATCCATTCATTTCCACTTCTATAATGTTGTTAATTTTCAATTTGTTGAATGATAGTTATTTAGGGCCTCATCAACATTGACTATTGTTTATGAGATTTTTTGAGGTCCTTTTTTTTCGTGGACAGACAACAAAGCAAAACGCTGCAAAATTCATTCATCAGTTGTGGAGGAAGTCCCGAAAAAGTTTTTCATTCAGAAAACCTTAAATGTTGTGAGTGCGATCTTTTTAATGATTGAACCATATATACATGCAGCCACTGCCCTAGGGCTTCAATACTGAGGGCACCTGGCAACCTGTTGCAATCTTCCTTGAACTCAGTAATAAACTTGAATCACTATAGCTAGAAAAAAAAGATTGCATTTAATTCCATTTGTAAGCTCTTAATCAGACGCTTTTGAAAATGGAACTTTTTTAAAAGAAAGAGATTAAGTCTAGAATAAATTRTTTCCAGTTTCATAGACACAAGCACGACGCTTGGAGATTTTTCGATTGCCTGACGTTTAGTCCCAGAACTAAACGTGAGGCAGTCGATTTTCTTTATTCGTCGGAACAACCGTAATTCAAATTGATAGAATAAGTAAAATGGAATAAAGAAATAATAATGCTCACCAAGATTGTATACACAAACACGGCACTTTGAGATTTTTCGATTGCCTGACGTTTAGTCGCATTCTCATTGCATTGCCACGCCCGCTGTTGTAGACATTTCGAGTTGTCTCAGCCTAATCAGACATCCATTGCTTTTCACTTCAATAAAATTGTTAATTTTCCATTTGTGGAAAGATAGTTATCTAGGGTCTCATCAACATTGACTATTGTTCAGGTTTCTGAGATTTTTGAAAGTGTAAATGGTCAACAAGTTTTCCTCGACAATTCTTCCTTGACAATGTTTCTTTGCTAGTGTAAACGAAGAACAAGACAGTTTTCCTTGACAAGTAAAAATTGACCGTGTGAAAGGTCACAAGTTTTCCTTGCCACATTTTCCTTGTTGTCCATTTACACGAGCAAATTTCGTCCTTGACAATTTTTCCTTGTCAAGGAAAAGCGAACATGTTGGCTTTTCCTTGACAAGCATTTTACCCCATTTACACGAGCAATTTTTACTTGTCAAGGAAAACTTGTCAAGGAAAAATGCTCGTGTAAACGCCGCTTAAGTTCATAGTTAATAGAGGGCAATGRTTTGGAAAATTTTCGTTATACTTCTTTTGTACATCTTTTGAGGTTGAATCAGTCAAGACCGTCCACAACGTTTTTCTTACGGACGATAGAAACTGCGAAATGACTAAACATAAACACCCTCTACGAGATTACGAAATGCAATTTTCCAATATTGGTTAAAATTTTTTTGTACATTGTGAAGAAAGTAAAAAGGATAATTTTCGCTATTTTCATTCAGATGTGACCAGTATGACTAAAACAATAGTTCATCAAAAGATTGTGCACTGTCACGCTTGGAAAAAAGGAATGTACCTAAAAGTCGACAGTCGAGGTAAAAAGTCGAGGGTGAGGGTAAAAGTCGAGGATCTTAGAAAAATCAGCTTTCTTGTGTGGCGTACTCAGAAATATGTTGCTTCTCGAAACAATAAGAAAATCACCATTGGTAGTTTAGAAAAGTAAAACAGCAACTAGCAATTCAAGTCGATTTTCAACTTCTTTTAATTTTTAACCCAAGAATAAATATGAGACTTAAATCATCCAGATGGCATTTTTTCTATTTTGAACTATTTAAAAAGTTATATTTTACGTTTTTGTTAAAATATATATCAGCGAAAACGAGAAGACTGCATGTCAAGAAAATAAAGAAAATTAAAAACTCCCTCGCGCTCACTCTTGAAAAAAAAAATAAAAATAAATAAACTTTTTTTTAATGGATACATAAAAAAAAATGGATAGATGTACGGCTGCGGAAAATAATTTTTTTCTCATAATTAACGCTGTTAGTTGTTCTTCATAATGAGTCCTATTTAGAATTTCTTTCTTCTACTCATTGATATCGTAATTTCTACTTCAATTTTTGGACCCTGCGGTCGTCTCGCTTCGATCATGCAAGGGCACGGATTCATTCCAAGCCTAGATTGTGCAGGGAAATGCGAAGAAGACTATTTTAAACGTATAACAACAGACACAACTACCAGTCTATAATAAGATAAGATGAACAGAGAACAATGTATTTGTAAATGTTTTATCACATAGATCACAATATAATGACACATCCAATCCAATATAACGTTGTCCACTTGCAAAGACTTTTAAAAAGACAACAGCAATTAAAGCCATATTCATAAATAGGTTTTAAAAATTCGCAGGAAGAAAGACATTTTGTAAAACATATGATAAATTTTCTCGCTTTCTGATTGGTCGAGACGGTCGCTACTTTGCTCGCCATTAACTTTGATACTTTAAAGAAACTAAAACAATGGACTTTCACGACAGCAGAAGTACATAACCAGAAGTGTCCATCTCGCTAATAATCTCATCACCATCAGATGTACCGATAATCTATTTTTAGACAACCAATCACAACGCGCGCGCATATATCAAGGCACCAGCTGATTGTTCATTGTTGATACTACTTCATGATCAAGAGACATGCAAGTAAAATCTTCTTTTTTTCTTTCTTTTTTTATTTGCAAGTAAGTGTAGTTTTTTTTTATTTATTTCCGCTTTCTTCTCTATCGCATTTAATGATATTTTTCCCCTTTTTTTTGTTTTAGAAAGTATTTATATATTGTTGTCTACCCAATCATCATCCTTCTAATTGTCGACCTTACAGTCTTACTGCGAGTGTGCACTAGCAACAAAATGACAGCAGTTGATGATACAACATCTTTATTGTTTATATTCGTTCTAAGATTGAAGTCTTTTTGCTTCTTCATCAGACTGATTTCGAATCAAATTCAGCAAAGAAATCTGCAAGGAAAAAAAACGCAATCACTTTTTACATATCAAAGAATTGTATGTCATGCCTGCGGGATCCCTGTGCATTTTAGTTTCGGGCTTTTTTTAGCGAATCCATGCTGTATATGGAAACAAACAAAATGGCCGATTATTCGGAAGTGTTTCTTATTTTTTTAGACGATTTTATCATTATGTTTTACAGCAAGAGTTAAACTTGGCCAGTGCCATACATGCGATATATTGTGTTGTTTTTCAGATGTAAGTCCTTTTGAGTCTTCGTTTCCATTAATGAGTAAGGGTTGTCGTACGTATTCCATATATGGTATTAACTAACAAGCATACAGGAGCACCTAACAAGCGAATAGCGGTCCCTAAGGAATCCCAATTTACTGGTGCTATTAGCAATGCAAAATACTTTAAATGTCACAAACAATTCGTTGTTTGCCAGCGTAATCTCTCGTGGTCAACTTAGTTAAGGCGCTTTACATTTGTAGTCGAAGGGTTAGGTTTAGGGAAAAGAAACGGGTCAGGCTATAAAATGTTAAATTCATAATTCTAAGTTAAAATTCGATAAGAAAATTTTTAATAAGTTAAGGCGTAGCTGAAAAGTTCCAAAAAGTCGATAAAAAGTGTAGAAAAATGTACAAGTGAAAAAAAGTATGGACCCCTGTTCGCTTGTTAGGTGCTTCTATTCGCTTGTTATAATTAGTTTGTGCCATATATGGAATACGTATTACAAACCCGCCTCCCATTAATCGTCACTAGCCCCCTGATAGTGACGGTCGTAAACTACCGCTTTGAAATTCGTGTATAGCTTGTAGGTGATGCATACATGTATACAGAGAATTGCTCACATAGGTCTGTGGCGATATGGATGTTATCTTCTCGTGTTGAAAACACTGAGATACTCTTAACGCGAGAAGATAGAATCCGTATCATTTTGTTTGCTTTTTTATGTTCAGAAGTGTTAAAGAGAATTACAAAACTATAAACGTTTTTACATTAAAAAGTTGACTAAAACTCAGGAATTTGAAACATTGTGGATTTTTGCTATGCTCCATATCTTTTTTGGAAAATACATCGAAGAAGAAAAAGGTTTGTTGGCAATTACCTTTAAACGGGGAAAGGCCAAGGAACGTTCACAGTCTTGCGTGTTTCTCCGTTAACGTTGGCCGCTACGCAGACGTAGTCCAGTCTTGCGTTTTCTGGAGTGACATCCCATAAATGAAGACGAGAACCAACGAGTTTTCGGCCAGCATCTCGAATCTCTTCAAACTTAGGCTTGGCAAGGAAGTCGTCTTAAAAGAGTAGAAATAGAAACAATTGTGAAAAAAATTAACAATGATAATATTTTGCACTCTTTTGCGAAGGTACCATTTTCTATAACGTCAGATGACTATTTTTATGCGGCCAGACATTCTGTTTTTCTGATATCATGCGATTACCTGGTATATTATCCTTGTTGATGATCTTCCATTGTACAGACACAAGGTTGTAGTTGTTATCTTTAATATTACACTCTAAAGTGTCTTTGTCTACGTTAATACGCCATTTTTCTGGTTTCTTGACTGAACTTATCTCTAGCAAACCTTTGAAACATTTGGAGAAAGTCATGGTGAGTACAGAGAAAACGTTGAGTACTAAAGAAAGTGTATACTAAGAACGAAATGTATTGTTGGAATTCCACTGTTTCAGAGTGACTATGCCACTTAAGCCATCTAACTTAGAATCGTCCATTTTAAAAATGCGTTTCGGTCTTGAAATACATTTATTATAATACATATAGTGGTCGTCATCCCTTCCAAATCGATCGTTTTCAATCATTTATTCCCATGAGATCCAAATGATAAAAGCCCGGCGTCCATGTTGGTTCATTGAACAATAGATACTAATGAGAAATCTTTAGTGACAGTTCCTTCAAGAAGGCCGCGGTGACGTATTACGAAAATGAATAATTTGTCGCTGGTATACTATGCATTTGTTTCTGATACTCCAGTTTCGAGATTTATTTGTGCAGTCTAAACCTCGAAAGCATGTAATATATTGTTTTATTCAGCAGAGATCCTATTGTAATGCAAACACTCTGTGTACAAAGAAGACAATAAATATTTATGCTTGATTGCATCTAAGGTTGCGATGCACAATAGAAAATTCGAAAGTGGAGTATTGTGTGAATCCCTACCATTTTGTCCCTGGCTTGGTGGTTTCACATCTGTTGAAATTAACAAAATCCAACAACAAATCTATCCAATTAACAAGAAAGCAGTTTTTGAAATGTTCCTGAGCATAGTTGCCTAGAGCCTCTTGTGGGTGGGAATAATCTAAAATTGCGCGCAAACATTATAAAGATCTTTGTGCACATTATAAATTGAAAACACAATGTTTTCCTCGTAGCATACCTTGACATGAAGTTGCTCCAAGCTTTGTGTTTGTAAACTTGTTTTGTGGGCAAACGGCGCATTTAGTTTGGCCGGATTGGTCCTGGAACTGGCCTTGTGGACAAAGTGTACAGAATGGCCTCATACCGTCTTTTGAGAACGTACCAGCTGGACAAAGATCTGTTGACAGAAAGAGAGAATTGACTAGATATTACTGACATTCCAGTGATTTTCGAAGAATTCCAAGGATGTTTTCCTCATCCCCGCCATAAGAGCCAGTTTGCATTCGATAGGAGGTTCTGGTAAACACCCAGAAGGCAATCCATGCCCAAACGGCTAWAATATTATAATATACTTACCTCTACAGACAAAGTCCCCTTGAAGAGATGATGTCCCTGATGGGCACTTATTGCAGGTGGTCTGTCCACGTTTGTCCTGATATGTACCCGCAGTGCACATGGTACATTTCCCTCCGTTGAAATATGTTCCCAATGCGCATTGAACTAGAAAAAAAAAAAAGATAAAAGGAAATTGGAAAAATAGGAAAAATGCAATGTAATTACTTAAGAGCATTAGTATGACTAACGTGTTCTACTTACCACAGTAGTAAAATATCTTGTAAACTAACTTCTTTTCGWATCCCACTTCACATTGAGCTGTTTTATTTGTTAATTTAAAATCTACACACACAAAAAGACAAGAATATTGTTGAACCAACCATCTTCATCTAAAATAGCTTAACCATCAAAAATCAAAGTGTCCAAACCGACTTTGCACGCGTTTAGCTCTTGTTTTCATACACTGTAGATGCAGCATCGGCATTATTTGAATGCTGTGGCTAATTGTAAAGTGAGGGGAAGTTTGAGGTCTGATATTAGTCAACAACAATAAAGCATTCATAGGGAATTTCAAAATTACAGTAAAATTTCTAGATTCAAATGGAAAATCCAGATGTTACAATCTAAATTAGATTCGGAGTGTCTAAACCCAGAACTAAACGTCAGGCAGTCGAATTTTTTCTTTAAATTTCGCCGTCGAAACAACCGTAATTTCAATTAATATAACAAGGGGAATGCAATAAAGACCGAAATAATACTGTTCGACAAGTTTCAAACACAAGCACGGCATTTTGAGATTTTTCTACTGAGTGACGTTTAGTACCAGAACTTAACGTCAGGCAGTCGACTTTTTTGTGAAAAGTCGTCGGAACAACAGTAATTTCAATTAATAGCACAAGATGAATGGAATAAAGACCGAAATAAGGGTCTTATCAAAAGTTAGCATGGGGAGGGGAGTTGGAAATTGAAAAGTTGTCACTGGGAATAGGGTGACCAAGCATAGTGGGCAAGTGAAATTTTCTACTGATATTAGACGGGCAAAATATCGTGACCCTCCCCGTCCCCCTTCAACCATTACCAGAACAAGGTTTCATTGCCCCTAAGCATCCAGTGAATGAAGCAGGGCCTATAATTGGACCATTCTTTCTTCATTTTGAAGGGATAAGGGTTATGATATTTAATATGCAGTTGATAAGGACAATTAATGCTATTGTTCACTTTATACATTTGATATACTTTGTTGCTGTGGCTATTGAACCAAATAAAACAATTTTTTATCTGTTTATACTGTGAACCAATCATTTTTATCATTAACTGCCTATCAAATATCCTGATAATTATCCCTTCAAAATGAAGAAACAATGGTCTAATTATAGGCTGCTGGGACAATGATAAATTGTTTTGGTAATGKTTGAAGGGGGAYGGTCTGATACAGAAAGGGTTAGAAAATTTCACTTTCACAACTCTGGTATGTCTGTATTTTTCAAAAATTCGACTGCCTGACGTTTAGTTCTGGGACTAAACGTCAGGCAGTCGAAAAATCTCAAAGTGCCGCGTGTTTGCATATACAAACTTGTCGAACAGTATTACTTCTGTTGCATTTCTATTGTCGTATTGAATTGAAATTACTGTTGTTCTGACGATTTTTCAAAAAAAAAAAAAAATTCGACTGCCTGACGTTTAGTTCTGGGACTAAACTTCAGGCAGTGGAAAAATCTCAGTGCCGTCCTTGTGTTTTAAACTTGTCGAAAGACATCATTTCGGTCTTTATTGCATTTCCCCTGTTGTATTAATTGAAATTACGGTTGTTCTGATGATTTTTAAAGAAAAATATTCGACTGTCTGTCGTTTAGACCTGACTAGAATTAGATTTGAAATAAATTGCAATCAAATCTGCAAAAGTGTGATGCCCAAGAAAGAAGAGAGGAAAACCTAAGACGGCTTGGACAAGGCAAGGACTGTAGAAGTCAACAGAGAAACATGGAAGTTTCTGTGGAAGCCTTGTGTACAAAGTGGATTGAAAAGGAAAAGAGAGAAGCAAAGATATAGTCAAAAACATAAAGTCTCGTGATCATACCAACGCAGTCTTCAGCCCTCTCTGGAATCCATTTTCCTTTTGCTTTATCACAGAAATAACTACCAATGAAATGGTCAGAAGCTGGCATTGTTCCACTTTGACACATTCTTCGTACAGATTTTTGTGCAAACGTCCATTGAGGAAATGCCCAGGTGCCAGGAAGACCTCGGTCGTCAGGGTATTTCGTGCATTTTGTTCCTGGTATAAAAGCATAGAATTCAATATATCTGTAATCTTAAGCATAAATGCACTGTTAACTGTACGTAATGTCCTTGGAAATGCCCTTTTGGATGAAAGCAAAAATGTACAGTTCAACAGACGATGCGGAGAAATGGAGAGCAGATACGCTCATAGAAATTCGCTGACATGGTTATACGCTGTCATGTGGCGCTGCAAATTGCAAGTAGACTTAAATCCAATAATTTATACAGTTCTATTTGTAAGAAAGAAAGCCAATAAACCGAAATAGTGCAATTTTACAGCAAACTTGTTGTGCAAACGAAAAGAGCGAGGGTTACTTAAAATTACCAAGCTACCAAAATCGCCAATTCATTGCAACTTTTAGGTCTGACACATGAGCGGATCCACGATTTTCCTAAGGGTAAGGTGCGGGCCTCTCGGGAGGTTTATTTATTTATTTAGAGTATTCCGTCACGCTACTAGATTTACAAAAACAAAAACAAGAAGGCAGTAACGTGACGAGGGGAGAGCGAACGGACACGAGGTCCCGGCGAGGCTCCCCACAAAACAAGACAATTTACAAATTGACATTACATTAAACATAGAACGAAATAGTGGATAAAGTCTAACAGCAGTTCATTCGGAAGGATCTGCATTTTGGCAGATAGATTTCCATGTCCTCCACCCTATAGGGGTCAAAGTCTGATTCAAGTTTAGAATAGTACATGTTTAAAATTTCTTTTTTTGAAATTAGAGGTAGATTGTTCCATTATGGTATACTTCTGTTGAAAAAGGAATCGCGAAAAAGGGTGGTCTTGAAGCGCCTAGGACGAAGGTTGATTGCTGTCGAGGCAATCCTTGTCCTACCGCGATTTATACTAATGAGGTCATCAGAGAGGTGATATTCACTGGCTAGTGCTTTGTATAAAAAACAAAAATCTTTCACTTCGAACCAATAGGACACTGCGAGCATGCGGAGGGTCAGCAGGCGTGACTTGTAACGCGGCCGTAATTCATGATTGAAACTGCAGTATAGAATAAAACGAGTCGCGCGACGCTGCACCCCCTCGCAAAGCCGAAGATCCGAGATACATGACTGAGTTGCCCATTCCTCACTAGCATAACCTAGGTTAGATCTTACAAAAGCAAAGTATAACAACCTCTTTAGGTCAGTCCCTAACTGCGTGCAATGCCGGCGTAAAAAGCCAAGCGTCCGATTTGCATTTGCCACGACGATACTGACATGCGAGCCCCATTTAAGGGTGCAGCTTACTGTGACTCCAAGATCTTTCTGTGAAGAGGCAACAGTGAGTGCGCTGCCGCCAAGAGTATAAGGACTGAAAAGGTGGTACACCCCACAAAAATCATTACCATGAAGATACAAAATAAGGAAAGTATTGAAGGATACAGATCTCAGGAGAGGGTGCGCACCCCCTGCACCCACCAGCTGGATCAGCCTCTGTGATATTAATAAACTATGGGGTATTCAGTTGATGATATCCTCCTTAATACCTCCCCTTCGTTTGTATCTCCTTAGTGCGCCCTTCTGGAGAAAATCTTAGATACACCTCTGTTACCCACCTCCAATTCTTATGGTAAACTTGCATTCTACTCTGTTGTTTGCTTTGTCATAGGCCGTGAAGTATTGATTATATGAGCCACGTTGCTTATACGTCTTCTTGACAAACGTTTTATCCACTCTGTCGATACCAACGTTGTCAGAGAACTCGGGTTCCTTGTAGGTCACATGATATGGTCCTTTTGTATATGCAGGGTGRAATACAGTGGGTCCAGGACAAGAAACTATCTTTGGTGGCTCTTTATCTGTTGAGATAAATTTCTTTTGTTTGACAGAAGTTCTGTTGCAAATCAGTTTCATCTCTTGATTCAAACCCATATCCAATTAGAGTAGGGAAAGGACCATTTGCCATAGCCTAAAGAGACTGGTCCACCAGCATTCAATGCGGTCATGTTTTAGATTTTTCATAAATGGAAATGAGGTGACTTTAAATATCCATTCGCAATCCATTTTCATCCCACCGGTTAAAAGTCGAGTCGAATCTTAACTCGATTCATATAGTATAAAGGGATAATAAAGAGTAAATTTTTGCTTATATTACGATGTATTTTTATTTTCAAACATGAGCAAAAGCTCGAAAGGAATGCTGGTGGACCATGCACCTTAGGTTTTACCTTAATAAAACCTACTATTTAACCCTTTCCCCATCAATAAATCGGATCAGAACAGAACTGATCAGAACAAGACATGGTTTTTGAAGGCACATTGCTAGTACTTTATTGACTAACCATAAATCCTGACGTAGTGAAAACACTTTTCCCTTTTGCCATCTGGATTAATGACAGTCCACTCGACTTTCGTGTCACCGGCGGGGAACTGGTACTGACCATCAGCTCCAACAGGAGAACTAACTTTAAAAGTTTTATAGTTTGATTGTGGAAGCTTCCACTTGGAGCCCAATGAAACTGTGYTTTTGCCAGGTGGGAGATCAGCAAAGATTGATGGAGGGCAAGAAATCCTAGGAGCTGAGAAACAAAGATTAATAGAGTCTGTTTGATATTTGTAGTTTTACCGATACCATGGTGCATCTCTTCAAACGTCATTAGGAAACATTAATAAATTCCTCTTTTTAACTTAAAATTCAATTTTAAATAGAGATGTCAGTTTGTAACTTGCTAGTATGTCATCTAACTATTGTACTTTCAACGTTCTATCCCAGCTTTTGTGTTTTTATTTGACATTAATGTATTGACTACATAAGAGCTATATTAAGTATAAATGCGCGTAAGAAGTAAGCAATTCTCTCTCTAAAATTGTTCTGTGGCAGTTGCAACCAGTGGCGGATTTAGGGGTGAGGGGTCTGGACTTCACTTTTTGGGAAAAATTAAATTCTCGTACATGTTTTTTTTAAACAAATGAATCTTCTTAAATGAAAAATAACAAGTGAATTAGCTAGTTTCCTAATTAAATAGCTAATTTTAGTGGGAAAATTTCTATTTAATACGTTATCCAAACTAATCCGTCAAGCAAATTTCCAGCCAAA